ATTCTAAAACGATGCAATTAATACTTTTCGATTTCAGTACAAGGGGTGAATATTTTAAAAATATTTAAAACAGTGCATTCAATATTGACATATGCAAGTTAACCTTATTTAAATAGTACATTATAACAAACCTGATGACAATAAATTAACAGCAGAATCATGTGCTATAGTATCAGGTTGTGTCACTTGTTCAACTTCTTCTGCAGCTGCAGAATCTTGTACGCTTAATAAAAGAGCTCCTAAAATAATAACACAAATTATAACAGTTTCAATACCTTTAATTTTAAACTTACCTAATAACATATGAGTATTCTGAGGATCAGTTTCAACTTGTAATGCATTTATAAGTAAATTCATAAGTCTTGACTTTAATTGTGCGAATGTTATATGACCCTTTTCCGTGATTACTGAATTTGTAAATGTCGGAAGTTCCTTAATAGTGAGATTCTGCAGATACAAATTATTAAATTTGAAAAAATTGTACATATTATATACACATGTAATAATTAATAACGTCAATTACTTGAAAATGTAAAGGTAATGCTAGCATTGATATTAGTAAGTGTATGGAGGCTCTTCGTAAATCAGGTTTCGATACCACGTTAGATTTCAGTTTTAAATCTTTTTCTGGAAGAACAGTTTCAAGTGCTGAAATCATTGCGGGTACTAATACTTGTACGCCGTTTAAATCTAAACGAAATAAGTCTGCAGAATTTAAAATAATGCTTGCTAATGTTTCGCCACATTCTCTAGACTGTAAAAGAAAATACAATTATGTCATATATACTTGTATATACTATGTCTATAAAATTTTAGAGAATAATCCATTACTTCGTCAGTTTTAAGACCATGATTCATTGCTTGATAAAATCTGGCTAAGTAGACCGGAAAAATTTCTTCACCAGTTTTCTTAGCACAGAAGATTCTACATAATGCACCTAAAGCTTCTGCTCTTCCAGCTTCGTAACGATCGATACAAAGAGCTGGTGGGACATCGTTAATACTTTCTTGTAGTGAACTAGGACCGTCGACGAGCACAGAAGATGGGCGCTTTGTTGCACCTGATGGTTCTTTTCGCGAATAAAATAATGATTATCATGTATCACTTAGTTATAAATGATGCTACATATAAAATAATACTTACGAGGTAAGTTTTGTGACCACCCATCAGTACCTATGAATGCAGCCTCAAATAACCATTCTCCAAAAAGATGCAATATACTGTTGCATTTTGGACGCCCTGGAGCTAATGGAGGTCTAATATCTTGAACTAGAGAAGTCATAGCTAGAAATATAGATAATGATCTTATAATATATGAGGCACATTATTTTTTTAGATAAAAGTAATTTACAAAATTTTACATGTTGTACTGGAGGCTGATGATGGTCCTGAATTAGACATCAAAATAGGTGGTGTACTTGTAACACGACTTGTTGTCAAACCAATTAAGGAAGCTTTTGGAATTCCTATAACAGAAATTCAGCTGTAACATATGCAATACTATTTTATTAGTATAATAACACTAAAACGGTATACTTCTTTTGTAATAAGAAGAGAACAAGCTTAAAGAAATATGTATATACAGTTTAAAAAATAAGAGAGTACACAGGAAACACCAGAAGATAAGTGCTCAATACCCTTAGTGACTGCAGAAGGTGTTACACTGAAACTTTTGGCAAGTCTGCGCTGTGTTGGAGGTGTAGGAGAAGGTTGTGTCAGATCCTTGTTACTTGCTTTATCCCACCCTATACCTCCACTTCCAGTGCTTCCAGATCCAGATGTGATTGTAGATACACAACATTCTTCCCAGCAACATGCCTGTGAAACTCCTAAAACATTTGTGACTGCGTGCAACCATCACCAAAAAGCAAGTTGAAAAGTCTGTACACTATTTCAAGTATCTCAAAGTCGAAAAGGTGTGAAGGAAAGAACCATTTTCCTGTTGTAAAGTAAATTTACAATTTATGCTTTTTATCTTTTATATGTATATATATGGTCCTAACAAAATATGACATTAATCATATTTATATATTTTGAAATTGTGCATAGTTTGATTATAATTTCATGCTTACCAAGAAAAGCATCAATCTGTCCAGCTATACCTTTTATGGCTTTTAAAAATATTTGTGGTAAACTTTGCAAACATGGATGTTGACATGGATCAATTACATTTGGACTAGCAATAGCATATTGTAAAAATGCTTGTGTCTGTGAAATAACAGCAGGTCTGCATAAATCAACTGGATCACCTATAGTTCGTAAAAGTCTGTACCAAGCTTGTGCTACTGCTTCATCTGACATTGTAGGTGGTACAAGTTGAGAATCTTCTTCGCCTAAATATGTCATTATATATTATAAATTTATAATTCGTAAAGTAACATGAATTATTAGCTAAAATCACTAACTTATTTTTAATTCTGGGAACATTGGACCATACATAATTTGCAAAAGTCTTGCTGTAAGAGCAAGACAAACTCGATTCCATTGTTCCACTAATGCTAATCTGTGTCTCCATCGAAGACAGGACTCCCTTAATGTGCGCCATAATGGTGGTGAAGGAAAATTACGTTCACATGCCACTAACCATACCTAAAAGTATTTTTATGTAACTAGTAATTTTTAAAATTTACCAATAAATAATTTATTAATACTACCTCTAATAATACACCTAGAACTCTTTCACACAACTGTTCTCCAGCATCTTCCCTTGTTGCTGGTGGAGCTAACAGTGCATCATTAATTCCAATAAGAAATAGTAATAAGCTTTCCCAAGTTTCCCTTTCTAAAGTAGCAGGGCCCCTTGCAATTTGTTGTAATGTTCTAAGTACTCTATGGCATAAAACTGCTTGTCGATTAATTGTATCTGTCCCTGCAAATTTAATATGTGCAATCATTAATTATTTATGTTTAAAAATTTATACTTCATTTGAGAACATATATCTTTAATACAAACGAATATTTTTAATTATAAATTACCTAGATCCTGATACAAAAATGGCCAAACTATGAAGAAAAAGATAATGACAAGTTGTTAGATGAAAATATTTTTAATTTAGCAAATCTTAAAACGATATTTCTTCTTTGACAATAATGAAATTAATGTTAAATATTTCTTGAATTATTATAAAAATTCCTAATATTATATATAAAGAAAAAGGAAAGTCAAAATCTTACCTTCTCCTTTTCGTGGAACAAATAAATTATGAAAATGACTTATTATTTTTCTTGCATAAAAATTAGGATCATCTACAATTGGTTTGGGTACACAAATCTTTGGTGTAGAATATAATGCAGATAACCATTCACAATATACATTAACACAATCTCTGACAGTGTCATGTTCAGCTAAAGGTAATGATAATCCAAAACATATCACTTCCATGCACCATTGTACTTCTTTATCTGTACATAATGGACTTGGCTCAGCTGCTTGTGTAATGCCAAGATTTGCAGCTAGTTGACGTACAATGGATAAAGCTACTTCTTTTCCTGCTCCGGGCGAAAATTTCTCTAGAACACTTTGGCTTTCTTCTGAGCCTTGTTGAATCAAAACACTTAGAGAAGCCCATTCGGAATACATTCCTCCTTGGGAATCCTAAAATTAAAATATCAATCATAATATTAATCTTTAAAAAATATAAGATTATACAAAACCTAAAAAAGATATTAAATTATAATTTACCTTAAGATTAACTCTGTTAAACACGCCTAAATTCATAGATTACTATACACTTTAATGTTTTACACTTGAGAATTATAATCAAGAAAAGAAAATGAAGATCACAATTTGGCTCGTTTAATCTTAATTATAATACAGAAATATTTTATTTCATATAATACCCGTAAAAATAAAGTGACTGATGGCTAAATTATGCACAATTTTGGGTACAACCATTGTCAGGAATAGATAAATACGTCCAAATGTCATTTGACAGTTAGTCTTCTCCTATACAATAAGTTTACTTGACATGACTTATATTGGTCATTCTACAATTACATATATGTACTTCTCAAGTTTTGATATATACTTCATTGCACGAGAATATATTTATTTTGCGCATCTCGACTAAGTTCGGAAGGCTTTTGATCACCACTGTGATTCCCTTCTATAGTTTTCTATTTCCGGATTATATAAACGGTGGACAAAAAATATATGACACTACCATATACCCTAAACTTTCCTCAGAAAAATAACAATCTAGGGAAACAAAGTTGCACTATATTTTATTAAGACATGTGTTGTAAGATCGCGTGCTGTAAAGCTGTGCTTTATGAGACTACAACCTCATACATTTTAAGATCTACGCTATGAGGTCATATGTTATAACATGAGATTTTATAGGACTACATGCTGTAATAATAATACATTATATCATCATGTATTTTCTCTAAGAAAATCTAACGTTTTCATCAATGGTAAATAATACGAGAAGTGATGATACGAAAAGTATATGACATAAAAAAATCTCTGAATATATCTACTTGGCGTCGCACACTTTTAATTATGAATCATACTATACCAAATCAGAGTTACATGCGCAACACAAACGAAAAGTTGATGTTCGAGAAGTATGTTTTCTAGAAACGTACAGCATTTTCTTTGTTCCGTGAAATATTTCCACCTATCAGGAATAAAAAACTTATATAAATCTACATAGAAAATGATAAATTGTGATACTTACTTCAGTATTTAACAATGAGTTCAGGATAATATTTCACAAAACTTTAAATTTCATATTTTTTTTATACAAATTTGATTTACTAAAGATATCGTTGTATAAAGTAAATACTGTAAAGAAATAAAATCTTTTTTAATGAAACTAAAGAAAATATATTAAGAGCAAAAATGTAAAAAAGGAGAGTAAATGTTGTATTGTAAATGTATGTCATTGAATATTACCAAAAGTGCATAGATTTTTTAAATCCATATAAGGCTTGAAATAAAGAATACACATATATTTTTATACATAGTGTAAAATCAATTTTGATTGGACGATTTTCTGCCGATAATGTAGATAGAAGGTAAAAGACAACTCTTTAGCTCTACCTACTGGGTAGGATAGCAAGTGTTACAATCTTGTGTATTGTATTACTCGTTTTTTTGTGTATGGTATGTATCTAAATCTTGAAACGAAAAACATCGACAGATGGCTCGAGATCATGTTATGATTAATATTTCTGGTTGAATTTATATAAATGTATAAGAATATAAGATAATTAAAGTTAAGTGTCAAATACAGCATTGGGAATAATTAATATAAGGACAATGTTTCTGAATATGAATTGAAGTTGAAGTTAGTTTCATATATTTGTGCATTGGGGTAAATAGCAAATGAAACATGGCGTTTGTTTCTTTCATATGTTCCGAAGATATTGCTTCTTGATTTTTTTCTTTCGAGTTTTCAATTATCGACGGGAATAACGTTCCGATGCACTAAAGTTTCTTTTCGGTTACAACACTTGACCTCAAGTGTACAAACAATCAATGGTTATTTACCATTTGCTTAAAGGTTCAAAAATGAAAAAAGTTATTGTTATTTGTGTCTATTGAGATGTGGAAGATTTTTCAAATACAAAAGAATACAACATGACGTCACGCAGTTACACAAAATCTTACAGCCGTAAGGTCACTAGTATGACACCTGGGAGTATTCAATTTGATAAGCTTTTTAGGGAAAATAGTAATCGACCCTCTGCTGCCAAATCAGCAGGTACTGTTGGAAAATGGGGTATAACATCGTTTACATCTATCAGGAGCACCAATATCAATGGTACATATCTTTTCTTTCTATGTTCATTGAACATTTTATTATGTATTTCTGTTTATTAATATTCATTAACAAAAATGTCTGCGGGAAGTGAATAAAATATGATTTACTTTATTTATTCCTAATAATAGTAACGTATGTGTTTTTATTGAATCATCAATTTCGTTTTGTTTTTAGGAAGAAGAGATGATATCCATAATACGTTTGGTGCAAAAAGAATTAAACTTGATTATGGAAATCAAAATAGTCGTGTAAATTCTGGAAAAGATCCATTTTCATTTGAAACCGACCCTGACAATAAATCAGATGTTGCACCACCAGTTATTAAACCTAAGAAATTTTTTAAAAGTAGAAATGTTCCATCTACGATAGAAGAATCTCGCCAAGATGTGGCAATATGTAGACAAGTACCTGATTCACATTATGGTAGAGCTCGTGCCCAAAAAAATTGTCCACAGCCACCACCAAAACAAACTTTAACAAAAGTATCAAGTGTTCCAGCTAAGAAAGTAGCTGATACTTTAGATGGAACCAATAATGATCCTCCTGTTAGAGAAGAAGGGAAACCACCTATTGTATTAAGAATATGTAAAGGTACAGCACGACTAGTCTGTGGAAATGTGCAGAATTCTCAAGAACCTGAGCCTGAAACATACAGAATTTCTACACCACTTATTAGTCCCACTAAAGTAGATAGTGAACATAAAAGCTTTAATGTGGATACATTGAAAACTGATAACAAGACAGTTCGTCAACATGAACCTATTATCTCTACTGTTTCAATACCTATAGAAAATTCCGAAATGCGTAGAACTACTCGTAGTCGAGCAAAAAATCTGCATTTAGAGTTAACAACAACAACAACAACTTCTGTTATGTCTACACCATCAGCAACACCTAATTCACATAGTTCTGGTCTTTCTTTAACTCTTAGAAAATCTGTTACTGATTCCAATAATACACTAATATCTCATTATGATATTGTTAAGACTGATTGTAGTTCAACATATTCTTGTAAGCCAACAATTGAACCATTAATTGGCCGTGATCAACCACTGCCAACTACAACTCAAGAATTAATTGACATATTATCAAGTGATTCTGATCCTATGCAAACAAGGCCAATAATAATAAATGCTCCAGAGACTGAGGAAAATGCAGAGGTTGTTCAAAATGAAGTTCAACATTGTTCAATAGATATTCCAGCAAATGAAGTGGTTGCTAGACCTATTGCAGAACAGGAAGTAGAACCAGATCCTGAACCTGAACCTGAACATGAACCAGAACCTGAACCTGAAGCTGAAGCTGAAGCTGAAGCTGAAGCTGAAGCTGAAGCTGAAGCTGAAATTGAAGCTGAAGCTGAGGCTGAGGCTGAGGCTGAAGCTGAACTAGAACCAGAAGCAGAGGCAGAATTAGAACCAGAACCAGAATTAAGACCTAATACTGAAATAGAAACTGAACAACCAGCTCGTATCAATGATAATGATACAGCTACTGCAAGAACTTTAGTTGATCAAGATTGGTTTTCTGGAAGTGATGACAGTGAAGGTGTCAGTGGTAATCCAGAAAGTGATATAGCATTGCATGTAACAAGTACAGTCACAGAATCACAGTCATTAGATACTCCGTGCACGACTGTTCAGAAACCGGCTACTAAGAAAGGTAGCATTTTTAAAAGTCGTTCAACGGGTGCGACAAATGGAAATAAAAGACGAGCATTGTACATACATAAATGGTGTGATAGTGATAAAGAATCTAATACTACAGATACCACTAATACTGGCAATACTACACCAACTATTGCTTCAGGTTCCCACAGTGGTACAGGACCTGTAGAATTTGAAGAATTTGATGCTTCAAAGCTAACAAGAGTGGTAACATATCCTGAAACTGATACAGACTTTCCAGATGAATCTGATGTTGTAACAAGTGTTCGTTGCGGCAGGAAAATTAAGGGTGTATGTATATTAAATAAAAAAAATCGTTTTCTTAAACAGTTTTTTTATAAATTGTACAATAATCTTTTGGAAAATTCTGGATTATATACTTGAAGAATTTAATTTCTTCTTAATGTAATATAAATATTTATTTTTTAGTTTTACACTGTAGTAAAAAATGTGAAAAAAGCTCACCAAATTCAAGAAAGTGGAGAATTCCAAGAGTTTAATGACGACGTTGAATATATATTAGACACTTTAAGAGAAAATAATCCCAATGCTACTCGTTGCCTTTCAGCTATACGATTAGCAAGTAAATGTATGGCACCTGCATTTCGCATGCATGTACGTGCTCATGGAACTGTTGCTAAATTCTTTAAAGCTCTTCATGATGCAACTAAAGATCAGGTATAAACTTCTATTTAATCTTAACGATTAATCTTAATGACTATGATAAAATAAAATTAGTTCTATAAAGGAATGATTATACGTTCTTTTGCAGAGCCTTGCTTTATGCACAGCAACAGTAATGTTTGTATTAAGTCAAGATCGTTTAGCTATGGATTTAGATCGCGATTGTTTGGAATTAATGTTAAGTTTATTAGAATCTGATGCAAGTCACAAAGATGCACTTGATGATTGTGGCCTTAGTCGGGCAGAACTTTTAAAAAATAAAGAGAAAGTACGTCAGTTATGCGCTGATATTCAAGCTCAAGGACATGCTAAACACTTAAATCTTGATAATATAACTGTAAGTACTTCATTAATAATCATAGAAATATAGGACTATGTACGAAATAACAAATTATTTTGAACTAGGTTGGACAACTTGCTATGGAAACACTTCTTAGTCTTACATCTAAACGTGCTGGTGAATGGTTTAAAGAAGAACTTAGAGAACTGGGTGGATTAGAACATATTGTAAAAACTATCAGAGATTGTCACCGTCATATTAATACCCAAGATATTACAAGATCTGGCTGGACAGATCCATTATTAGATAAATTACGTAAAGTTGATAGATGTTTACGTGTATTAGAAAATGTGAGATGAATATAGTTTCATTTAAAGATATACATATATAACATAGATTACAAATAATTTACTTTTTACTTAAACATGTTATTGCAGGTTACTGATATGAACGAAGAAAATCAAGTATATTTATTAAAATATGAAGATGGAATTTTAGTCAGCACTTTAGCAAATTTGTATCATCTTTGTGGACAAGAAATTCCTATTTACCCTACTATAGATTCAAGTGATAAAACTTCTACTGGTGCTGTTATTAGAGAATGTCTGTTTGCTATTATAAAAGTTCTTATTAATCTTACACATCGATTTAATAGACAATGTAAGATCTTATCAAACATATATTATTTTTTACGAACGTATAATATTCATATCTAAAACAATTTTTCATTCATTCTTTTCAGCTTTCGGAAGCAAATCATTAGGCTCGCAACCAGGTGTTTTAGACTGTAGTTTATATCTTTTGTTGCGTGTACCAGAATCACTCCCCGAAGAAAAGCGTTTTGATATGATGATGTTAGCTTTGATTTTATTGATAAATTTAGTAGAGCAATGCGACGATAATAAACAACTTCTTATCGAATCTAAAGCTCCCCCATCAGCGGAAGATATTTTTGACGGTAAATATACACACATATATGATATAATTTAACGACGAAATGATTATAATATATTATATTTGTTTTTTATAAAACAGTTGAACAAAGTGGAGTAGAATGTTTGATTGATCTATTTTATAAACAAGAAGAATTAGCTCGTGCTGAGGAACAAAAAACTGATGCTATTTTAGATGGTCAGAAAGACTCTGAACAACCAGAAACTGTATCGACGACAACTAAATCTCAAGAAGAGTTTATAGAAGAAACTGTTACAAAATGTTTGTATTTTTTTATTTCTTTTATCGTGCTATAAAATTTTATGAAACATAATTTCGTAAATAATTTGATTTATAGTGTTACAAAAAGCGGGACGTCATATGGAGCATACCTTAATAGGAGCATACGTAGTGCTTTTACTTGGTTACTTAATAATGGATAATAAGGTAATATTTTCAGTAGTACGACATTAGAAAAGACATAAATAATGTACATAACAATGTACATATTGTTGAAACGCCTTTATTTTTAGGATTACGAATCATTGGTACGTAGTAGACTTCCGGATAACAATTTTACTACCATGGTATCTGTACTTCAGAAATTCTTTAATTTCATGAATTTAACTGCGTCGGTAATTATCTTTTATTATTATGTGAAAACTTAAACGAATACCTTATGCATTTGATTATTTATAAACAATTTGTAAACAACTATTATAGAATGAAGCGAGCAGCTGTGGAATTCAAGCTACTGAAAAGGTGATCAAGTTCCTAAAGATATCGGATGCCAGAATTGACGATGAGAAAAATGAATTACCATTATCAGCGTTAGAAGATTCAAACATAATGCTCCATTTATCTTCATCTTGATTGATATCATATTCATACATTTGATATTTTTTATTACCCTGGCATGCAAAGAGAGCCAAAGTTATATGTGTCCAACGAAGGAAATTTTATCTATTGCAGAATGAATGGACCTGTTTCATATTGACCATATATTTTGATATATATTTATTCATTTACATAATTTATTGCTGTACCTTTCATTAAATTGACTTATTTTCCCATTCGCAGTAACATGTTAGATATTAAGCATAAGTTAATTAAAATATGCAAAAACTAATACAATAAAAACCGCGCCTTGTAATTACGCGTATGGTTCGATTAAGTTTCTTCATATAGTATGTATGTATTATCATTATTTTACTTGCTTCGCCAATCAATAACTTTTAATGTTATAACTGTCAAGAAGAATAACAAAATGTAAAACTTCTTGCCAATTTATGATTTGTTTGCTGTATAAAAATGCGTAAATTTGAAATTTCACGATTATTCGAAATTTCAATTTATCTATATTTTCAGTTCTAATATACGATTGGCGGTGTTGGGGTTTATTATGACCCATTAAACTTTGAGAAAGCATTATTATGTAAGTTTATTTTAATATTAAAATTATACTGTAAGCCTTGTAAATGTAAATTTATAAATTATAATTGTATCTTAAATTTACAGTTTCAAGTTATTAAATCCCATTAAAAGATATAGGATTTCATAAACTTACAGTTTTCTTTAAAACTGTAACAAGTTTGAAAGGAAAAGTGATATATTATATTTTATTCTGTATATGTGTACAATAAATTAACTTAAAAAAATAGAATAAAATATCTGTAAAATAAAGGATTTTTAAATAAAAATTGAACATGTTATGCTGCACAAAGTACGATTTTATTATATGTGTATATACTTAAAAGATAATTGTTATTTTATTCAAAACTAAATTTGTTTTTAAAATTAATTTTTAATTTAATCTGTATAATATATAAAATATGAAAATTGGTTTGGTTTAGTTTATTGATTCTCTTCTAAGAAAGATAGCATTTGAGCCTTGTGAAGGCTCATTTAAGCCTTCTGAGTTTTATCCACTATGTGTATAGACCATAGAGTAAACGTGGATCATGAGAAGACATGAGTGGGGGAGAGAACTGGGCGAATACTCATATCTTTCGTTGAATGGAGATTACTATAAGTCTTTACGTAGCATGATAGTATTTATAATAGCAATAGTATTATCAACAGTAACAAAATGTTAACTTTACATCTTTTTTCAAGGTAAACTATAGTAATTATAACAATAATAGTGGGGTATTTTTAATATTAAATATTGTAGTATTTATAATACTGAATTTTTAGGCATATCAAAACACAAAATAGGTTGCCAATAAAATGGTTAAATGTTACGTTTAATATAATAAAGGTAAATTCATCTAGTTCATCTTCAGATTCAGATTCTGATACTGAATCTCCTAACAAAAATACATTGATTAATAAAGATGATACTACAGAGGTTAGTAACAATAATAATAAATAATCAGAACTATTTTGTTTAATATTATGCATTAATTTATTTTTTTTTAAAGAGTACCAGTTTGAAACTTGCAGATTACCTACATGCCAAAAATAAAAAAGACAAAAAACAAGAAATTGGTAAGATCTTATTGTTGCTTAAAATGTATGGATAACAAAATACAAATTTTTATTCCAGAAAAACGATTATCCAAAATAGCCGATGTACTTTCAAAAACACCAAGTGAAAAGGATAAAGAGCAAATTCTCTCTAATCTATTAAATGCTATTTCATTAGAAATCGGGTTTGTTTATAATATCTTTTATTTCAACTAAAATAAATTTATAATAATGTCTTAATATTATATTAATTTTAGTGAAAAAAACGATGAAGTCAATGACAGACCATCTATAATTAAACAGATACAAAGTGATCATCAAAAATTAAGGAATACTCAAATTTCACTTGAGAAACAAATACAAAATGAATCATCTACAATTAGGCACATACAACAATCAAAGGATATTGAGAATTCATTTATAAAAGGAACACAGCTATCTATGATTAAACAGATAGGAAGTGAACAACAAAAATTCAGAAATATTGAGAGTGAATCTAGAACAAAAATAGAAGAACCATCTATAATCAAGCAGTTACAAAGTAAACAAAAAAAATCGAGAAGTAATGAAAGTCAACCTAGCAAAAGAATGGAAAGACTATCTATAATTCAGCAGATACAAAGTGAACAACAAAAGTTAGAAAATATTGAGAGTCAACGTAGAACAAAAAGGGAAGAACCTTCTATAATTAAGCAGTTACAAAGTGAAAAAAAGAAATTAGGAAATATTGAGAGTCCACGTAGAATAAAAATGGAAGAACTTTCTATAATTAAGCAGTTACGAAGTGAACAACAGAAGTCAGAAAATATTGAGAGTCAACGTAGAACAAAAATGGAAGAAGAACCTTCTATAATTAAGCAGTTACAAAGTAAACAACAGAAGTCAGAAAATATTGAGAGTCAACATAGAACAATAAGGGAAGAAGAACCTTCTATAATTAAGCAGTTACAAAGTGAACAACAGAAGTCAGAAAATATTGAGAGTCCACGTAGAATAAAAATGGAAGAACTTTCTATAATTAAGCAGTTACAAAGTGAAAAAAAGAAATTAGGAAATATTGAGAGTCCACGTAGAATAAAAATGGAAGAACTTTCTATAATTAAGCAGTTACAAAGTGAACAACAGAAGTCAGAAAATATTGAGAGTCAACGTAGAACAAAAATGGAAGAAGAACCTTCTATAATTAAGCAGTTACAGAGTGAACAACAGAAGTCAGAAAATATTGAGAGTCAACGTAGAATAAAAAGGGAAGAACCTTCTATAATTAAGCAGTTACAAAGTGAACAACAAAGTAGAGAGAATGGTAAGAATACATCTAGAAATCGAATGTACGAAGAACCATCTGTAATTATGGAATTAAAAAGTAAACAAGAAAAATTAAATACTACTAAAAACCATGATCAAACCAATGGTGCACTGCACCTTGAAGCATCTATACTTCGGAAACTAAAAATCCAACGTAAGGCTAGAGTTCAGGATATCCCGGTACAAGAAGAGCGGTATGAAAATAAATAAATTAATTAAAAATTATATATTTCCTACAGAAAAATTGCAATTAACATTTATGCTAATTTGTGTAAAAATATTGATAATTTATGTAATATATGTAATATATAATAGGTCTTTCAATTTTGAGACAATTTTTACCAATGAGTTAACGGAAGTTCCGCCAGAACTTAAAACATGGAATATGTGTGAAGAGGCCCACCTGCAGTTGTTGTTGGTGAATAAGTCTCAGAATGCATTTCAGGAATTAATTAAATGGACTGAAGAAGGGAAGCTATGGCGATTTCCTATTGACAATGAACAAGGTGCTGTGTAAAAATTATATTTGAGAAGTAGTTTTAAGATATACTTATTACTGTATATTTTATTATTTATTACAATGAAAATTAATTTACTTTTCCTTTATAATGTAGGATTGGAAACAGAAAAAGATGTACATTTTTCAAAACATGTATTTTTGGAACAACATTTGGTAGGATGGTGTCCTACTAAAGGCCCAATACGACATTTTATGGAACTAGTATGTGTTGGTCTTTCAAAAAATCCATATTTGACCGTTCAAGAAAAAACAGATCATATAATGTGGTATAAAGACTACTTTGGAAGCAAACAGGATCTGTTACAAAAATTAGGACTTGTAGAATAAAAATTATTAAAATATGATTTTTACTGTTATTTAGAATATAAAAGATACAGTAAAATATTGTATTTATACGTTGTTACATATATATATGTATTTAAGATTATCATCATTTCCTGCATGTTGTTTGTTTTCGTCCCTCCTGGATTGCAGAGTTAAAATTTGTCCACCCGGTATATAACTTGATGGTAAAGACTATAGCATAGGCTGAGAGCACATGCGTGTTACTTTTAGTTACAAAGATGAAAACTGATATGCGCAGTACGAATAAAAACTAATTATTTGACTACATTTGACAACTATGTTCTTTTGTCGAATTGATAAACATACGTGAATTTAACAAAACAATATGATCGAAGCAGAAAATATTGAGGATCATAATGGACTACGTCCAGATGGTAGGCGAGCATTAGAATTACGACAAATTCGGATAAAAATGGGAGTTTTCGGTCAAGCTGATGGAAGTGCTTATATCGAACAGGGCAATACCAAAATTTTGGTTACAGTATATGGACCACATCAGGTTAATGATTTATTATGTATGAAACTTTTAATAATATATTGAAAATCAAGTTTTTTAATTGTTTACAAATTCTTGTATATTAGCCACGAGGTTCTACAGGAAGAAGTACCAGTAAGGTTACCAAGGGTATAGTAAATTGTCAATATAGTATGGCAGTGTTTAGTTTATCTTCTGGCGAACGTAAACGAAAACCACGTGGTGATAGAAAATCGCAAGAAAAGTCACTTCAGTTGAAACATGCTATGGAAGCAATAATACACCTAGAATTATATCCACGTTCACAAATAGATATTTATGTAGAAGTATTACAAGTTGATGGAAGCGAATATTGTGCATCCATAAATGCTTCTACACTTGCTTTAATTGATGCTGGAATTCCTATAAAGGTAAAATATAACAGTTTGTACAAAATGTATTAATAATTTTGACTCAGAATATTTTTAAAACTTAAATTGTCCTTTTCTTTACAGAATTATGCTGTAGGTTGTACTGTAACATTAATTAATTCTTCATCTTTAGACAATGAAGATAGTTCATTAGGAACAGGTGTATTAGATGCAAATTATATAGAAGAATGTAATCGTGGTGTTACTTTATCTGTTATTGCTTTACCAAATAGTGATGGTATATCAAAGGATGGTTTAATAGTGGTAGCAGAAGGAGCAGGACAAAGGTTGCATTTATCACATTTTGAATCTTTAAAAGATAGAGTATTACATGGATGCCAAGATATAAAAGTTATTTTAGATCAAGCTGTTAGACATTATTTAACAGAGCAGTCTCTCCCATCTCTTTATCATGCCAGCATAGATTAGGGATATTAATAAAAGTTGTATACAAAATATCATAAAATAATATATTTTGTTAACATTTTCATAAAGACATATAAAACTTATTTTAATATTTCTTGTGGTATGACTTAACTATATATTATATAAAAAATTTTTTTTTAATCTTGAAAATATATTCCTTCCTTGATATTGTTGACATCTCAGACTTTAGCTCCTGGGTATCTTTCCATAATCATACCTACACCCTGTAATTCATATATTTGGTAAGATATTTTATTTAACTTAAACCGAAGTTTTTATTTTCATAGTTTTTTACCTGACCACCAGCAGCACAAGCTGCAATCAAACCAAATTGTTGATCTTCTTTAATCATTCGATTAGCGGTGTGAGTAGCTAGCCGCACTCCAGTTGCTGCAAATGGATGACCAATTGACAAAGAGCCACCCCAAGCATTCCACTTATTAAGATCCGGTATTCCTACTTTTGAAGATCTCCCCAAGTAATTTTGTGCGAACATATCCGAATCTAATGCTTTCAAATTAGCTAAAATTTGTCCAGCAAATGCTTCATGTATTTCCCACACTCCAATATCCTTCACGTTTAATTTAGCTTTTTGTAATATCTGCATTTTATTAGGAAACTTAATAAAATTGGTAGTTAAAAGTTTGAAACTTAAAATAATTAAATATACATAAAACAATAATTATAACCTTTGGAATAGCATATGTTGGTCCTAAAAGCAACTGATCAACTGGATCTTGAGAAACATAAGTAAAATTTCTCAAATATGCCTTTGGTGTAAGACCAAGTTGAAGAGCTTTTTGTTCTGTCATTATCAGAGCTGCTGATGCTCCATCAGTTAAAAAGGAAGCATTAGCAGCAGTCACTCCTCCATATGGCTTAACAAATGCTGGTTTTAATTTTCCTAATTGTTCCATTGTAGAAACACGAATTCCATTATCTTTATCAACAACATCATTTACATTTGGTACTAGAAAAAATATTAAGAACTGTTAGTATAATGTCTCTATCACCATCATATGTAAACCTTTACCTTTATAAGGAACTATGTCTGTAAGATGCCCTTGTTGTTGTGCTTTTGCAGCTAAAGTATGAGAACGTAAAGCATATTCATCTTGCTCTCTTCTTGAAATTCCAAATGCAGCTGCTAATCTATCACCGCTGTGTCCCATGGTTTCATTACTAGAAAATTCTGCTACAGCAGGTAGCTGTAATTATTAAAGTATAATCAAATGTAATGTATAAGCATTTATAAAATTTAATTCTACAATGAGAAGAAACCTACATCTGGTATAAAATGTGCTGGGCGAATACTAGCCAGAAGACTTAATTTTTGCTTCATTGATTTTGCCTTATTAGCTTGTAACATTAAGGAACGCATTTTTCGACTATGCCTTATTGGTATATCTGACATAAATTCCACTCCACCTGCAATAATTACATCATACACACCGCAAGCAATCAAGCCCATGCCAGTTGTGAGAGCTTGATTACTACTGATGCATGCCATAGTTACTGTGTGTGCAGGAGTATTATCACTGTATCCTGCACCTAAAGCTGCTTCTCTAGCAATATTTGAAGTACGTACTTCTTGCATTACAGTGCCATAAATAATGTATTCAATTATTTCTTTAGGAAATTTAATTTTTTTTTGCAGTGCCCTTATAGTAGAAAATACAAAGAATTAGAATACATAATATATTAAATCCGAATTAAAAAATATTTTAATTAACTTACATCAATGACTCTCTAGCAAGATCATATGCCATTAAATTTTTATAACTTGTACCAGCTTGCAGAAATGGTGTTCTAACACCATCGATGAAGACAATATTTTTAGAAGCATCATTACTTTTAGTTGCAAAACACTTCTGGATTATTCGCCAACTGTTTACAGAAGAACCTAATATAAAAAGTAAATTATACTCTGTTACGTATAAAAGAAATATCTTTTACTTAAAAATAATTTTATATGAATATGACAATAAATATATTTATTACAAGAACAAATTCTAAATGTATTTGTTATATTTATTACAATACATAAAAAATTTTTATAACAATTCAATTTTTTATTTGTAACATTTAATTCTGCACTTTGCACTCACACATATTTAATACATATCAAACTGACATTACTTTTATTATCTACATAAAATAATTTAGCGTACCATATTTAGCAAGCCCTTGCTTCACTGCAAGACTATTTTGTATAAAAAACATCATTAATATATTCAATTTGAACTTATAAATATTAAAAAAGTTCGAGTATTATTATCAAAATTTTTGCAAGTGTGGATACCCGCACAAAACGGTGAACGCGAGTGTTGTACTTTGACTTATACTTTAGCCACGTTCTCAAGAAATTTGTAATTGTGTGAACTTTAATAAAATCATTGCTGTGATTGGTTTAGTATGCTATGCAACCAATAGTAGCACACATGTTGTACAGCCCTCAATTGTTTTAAAATTAGTCACTTGGTGCAGCACTGCTCGGAAACCACTAAATTCCGGGCACGAGCGTTCTATGATTTGGTATTTGCAAAAATATGAATGGGGAAATGTTGGCTACTATGACGATCTTAAAGCTGAACACTACTGCGCTCATGCAGTAGCAACACTATACTACACTATTGCTATATATCGTGCTGTAAAGAATAGAAGAATACTAGATACGCGCGGAGGTTACTCCGATTTTGACAGATTTCGATCATGCCAATTCAAATATCGAGTTGACAACAGTTTGACAGTTAATCTGTTAAGTTTACGTCATAATTTAAACCTCGCGTATGTATAGATTACGATTTTTATTCTCGTTACAGTTTATTTTTTCTCGCGTTGTATTTTAAGTTTTTTGTCATTTTGTATTTCTAATTAACACATTGTGGAAATTGTTGTCTAACAATATGAAGCTGCACACAGATGTATATGATAAATTATACTTGTGAGTATTTTGTCTCTACATTTCTTTATTGATCTTTAAACAGTTAATATTTTAATCATAAAGTATTGTGATTGCACATAATTCTTATTGTAAAATAATTTCTTTTTTAGATACATAACACCTGAAAAGTTTTATGTTGAACCCATTGGAACAAAAGTATTGCTTGTAGTTGATAGAGTGAGTCAACAGATTTACACCCAAGGTAATTAATGTTATTACTTGCATTTAATGTAATAATGTTATAGATTATAAGTTTTTAAGACGTATTGTTTATACTTTAGCTGGCACAGCTAGTCAAATCCCATCAACTGCAAGCCGTAGAAAAATATGGGGTATAATAGGGACTATACGATTGTTAGCATGTCGCTACCTGATAGTAATAACAGACGCTGCAGAAGTTGGAACTATAGCTGGCCATCAAATTTATAAAATAGTTGCAACAGAAGTTTTACCTTACACAAAATCTTCATTGCATCTCAGTGAAAAACAAGTGCAAAATAATGCCACATATTTAGAAATGATTAAATCTGTATTAAATACACCTTATTTTTACTTTAGTTACACATATGATCTTAGTCATACGATGCAAAGATTGCATAATACTCCTCCTGAGTTTTTACAGGTTATTGTTGCATTCAGTTATTATTCAATAATTGCTTGTATATGATAATCAAAATGCTATTGATAATTATTGTTTTTTATTATATAGATGCCACTTCACGATAGGGCAGATCTTAGATTTGTATGGAATGCTTATCTTCTACAAGACTTAACGTCAAGACCAGAACAATACAAGTTTTGTCTACCTATTATTCATGGATGTATCCTTGCAAATAAAATATTCTGAATTTATTTTTAGTACATATACTTTTCTTAACGTTTCTGCAGTTGTCTCATTAAATACTATTACTGTGACTGGGAGTACAACATTTAATTTAGGTATTGTATCTAGAAGGAGTGTACACCGTGCAGGAACAAGATTGTTTTCACGTGGTATAGATTCTACTGGCAATGTTTCTAACTATGTAGAAACAGAACAGTTGGTTGAATTCAATGGACACCGTAGTTCTTATGTACAAACACGTGGTTCTATCCCCTTGTTTTGGTATCAAGCACCAAATCTAAAGTATAAGCCTAAGCCTCAGTTGAGCATTCATGAAGATCACCAAACTGCTTGTGCTCGACATCTTGAAGCTCAGATATTCCATTATGGAAAGCAAATTTTGATCAATTTAGTAAGTTATCCAATGATACAAAAAAAAAACTATTATTATTACTATTAAACAATGTACTTTTTTAAATAGATAGATCAACATGGTCCAGAAGCTACTCTCGAAAAAGCATATCGTAACGTAGTACAACGAATTAATAATCAAAATGTGCGGTACGAAGGTTTCGATTTTCATTCTGAATGCAGAAGAATGAGGTGGGATCGATTAAACGTTCTACTTGATCGATTAGCTCCTGAATTAGAACAAATGAGCTACTTTTTGTTATTGGAAGATGGAACATTATTATCCGCTCAGGACGGTGTTTTTCGTACGAACTGCATTGATTGTCTCGATAGAACTAACGTAGTTCAAAGTATGATAGCAAAGAGAATTCTCAATGAGGCATTATCAAGATTGGAAATTCTTAGGAGGATCGAGGATCATCCTAGTATCGAAGAACACTTTAAACGAGTAAGAATTTATATATTTATTCATTTTGTACTACACATAGTTTCTTCACATAGAAATTTGACATATTTTAGATTTGGGCTGATAATGCGGATGTTATAAGTATTCAGTATTCAGGTACTGGTGCATTGAAAACTGATTTTACACGAACAGGAAAACGCACTAAGTTGGGTGCAATGAAAGATGGTTTGAATTCTTTAACAAGATATTATAAGAATAATTTTACCGACGGTTACAGACAAGTAGGCAGTTTTTACTTTTGAAACATTTTTTAATTTTATATTTGTGTGTAATATTGATTACTATATTTATTTAACAGGATTCATTAGACCTATTTCTGGGCCGTTACATTGTGCAAGATGGTGAATGTACATCGGTCCAATGTCCTTTGGAATGCGAAAGAAATTGGCGCTACGCGACATTCCCTTTGGTACTTCTCGTTGCATCGTCCATGTTGGTTGCTCACATAATCTTACCTTCAAGATACACTACTGAAATTTTGTTGTATATGTTATTTTGGGGTGCTATGGTGGGTGGTACATTTGCAACCATCATTCATCATGGCAAACAATACGTGGATAAACCTAAGTTGCTTTAAATGTCTCTTAATTTCATGTACTACATGCTGTACAACATTTTTTCTTTATTCATACTGGGGTACACCATAAATTTTTTGTTACTTTCTTTTTCACTTTATCGATAATATATTTTCTTGTTATTAAATGTTAGAATTTATTGTAAAAACGAAACGGTATATTTTAGATCTATAAATTCTAGCTTTGTATATGCATTTTATGTTTTGAGGTTATAGATGTAATGTTAGGAGAGGAAAAAGTGTAGTAAAATTGAGCAAATACGTTCTTATTGATGTACAGTAGCAAGCACCGTAGACTTTCTTAAGGAAAATGGCGATGTAAAGGAAAGAGCCAATTACTTGTTGGTTTTTGGTTGGTAACTTTTCTTTACAAATTTCCAAGTTGAGAAGTAGGAAATTTGGAAGGCTGCTCATCATACACTGGTCTTTGTCCAAAGGAAGCCTACATTGCACTTGAATGTACATAGATTAACACCGTAGTTAATCTTCATAGTTGCTACAACTCTTACTTTTTCTACGTAAGTAGAGTAAGACACAGTATGTAAGGGAAATCGCTCGTTCCCTTTCTTGTAAAGTATTGTAAAGAGGCGAGGGTTCGATTTCAGGCAATATTTGTTCTCCTGACAAGCCGTACCGCATTGTAGTGCTTTGTATGTATCGTTCATAGATTGCCTGTGATTATTACTCGTGTTTATTCAACACTGCAGGTATTTGACGATACGTAAAATTTACTTGCAATGTAAACAAAGTAATTAATAAATTATTCATGATTTCTTTCAATGAAGACATTTTAGAAAATAATACAATCGTAACTATTGTTTATAATTCACGAATACTAGGTGATCTAGTCAGAAAACTGATCGTATTTTAAGATATGCGAAATGTTTAATGTATCCTGACATTTGATAGTCATATGCCGAACCAAAGTGTATGATGTTTTTAAAGTTTTATCCGATTGTCAGTTCGCATAGTAAGTGATATATCGAAGGATGTTTTGTTGAAAGAATATTTTTTAATACTTGATAAATAATTTTCGTACAAAACTGCTTACTTATTGTAAGTTAATACTTTTAATCCAAGTGTCAATAAAATTGTTTTCTCTATTGCAAATAAATGTTGCACAGCATCTATTAATTACGAGTAAACGTATGTCATGTTTTTTGGTATAATGCGAACTTTGTTAATCAATCGCACTGTGTGTCTTTTTAGTGCAATTAAAGTAGATAAAGATTATTCATCTTTAGCCAAAGGCGTCTACTTTAATATTTGATTGATGTCTTCCAATATGTACATGCGTAATTTTTAGAAAACATTCTTATGTCAATTACTTTAAGGTATTTGAACATGCACAGGAGAAATAGAAAATAGAAATCTTTTCCCATGTTTCTTTTCACTTCCTTCATAACACAATTTATAGACTAAAAATAAAGAACACTAACGCAAATATTTATGAACTTCATTATTTAACACTTGGTAAGTAGCAGAATATACTTTTTGAAAGATCAAGAAACCGATGTGACTGTGATTACGATTGATGAGCGAGCAGATTTCATTCGGTGACTACGTAGGTGACATTTAATACTAATAACAGTGGTCGCGTACTTGTTTGTCTATCATTTATTCGTATTGATAGAACCGAGGAAGGAAAACAGGCAGATGACGTCATTTTTGTGCCGAGGCAAAACTTTTCGTGGCTTTGAGCCTTTGACAAACGGTCGTTCGTAATTGGATTCGTTTTATAAAGTTCCAACGAAACGTGCAGCCTTTCTGCTATTAATTGGAAATGGTAAGCGGTGTGCAGCTATAGTAACAGGGAGTGTGGACTGGAGGTCGACGAGGGTGATTAATTTGATTCAATTACAAACCGACGGCAGATCCAGGCCATCGATTTTATTACCATTTCTCTTTTGCTCCCGCATCTCTAGGATCTTAGTCCTCGATATGCCGCGGAGAAAAAAGACACAGTCAGCATAATCTATGTTCACTTTGACGCTCAAATTCTCTTGGTCTCCGTATGGCTTCTTATTCCGAACAACAGTTAACATTTCTACCACGGCACGTTTTATTTTTAGTGAAGCGGTAATTGCATGTGACCTAAAATACGTATTTCTCCAAATAAATTTTCGCTGAGGTGACGGGGGTCTTTCAAGTTTTGTAATTTCGAAATTTTGGCACTTTTGGAATTTCGGAACTGTGGGACTTGGAAAGTCGTGTTTCTTCCAAGGGGTGTATTTACATAATTTGGAGATGGGGTGTGTTTTATGTATGACACCCGGGTAAATTGTTATTAGGGTATTTAGGGCTGCGATCACATGTAATTTAGCCGCTTTTTGCGCATGTATAATCGTATGTGGTAGGATCATGCACGTATGCGGTGTACGTACGTCGGTTACGTTGCTACTTACGCTAGCTTCCGTGATACATGGAGGTCGCACCTAAATTTCCCACGGGAGTCGTACGTCTCACTGGCCTCTCGGCAACCCTCTTTATTTTCCCTATGCCTCTTCTCTTTTTCGTTGCCGCCCTTCGCACTCTTTCTCTCTTCGATGATTTTTCTTTTCTATTTTTTTGCTCGACGGTTAACCAACGATCGAAGATCAAAGTACAACTGACAAGAGAAAGGTTTTCAAACGTTTAATATACGAGGTACTGTGGACGTCGCGTTACGATTTAATCAAGAAATCAACAAAATTAAGGACATTAAAATGGTTTAACAACGAGTGCCATCGAGCGGATTAAACGTTCCGCGTTTTTCTGAAGATATTAAAGATCGTGATAAAGCTGTGTCGCGTTGGTGTCACCTCGCGCTTTCTGGCGTTTTAATAAAAACGAATCGTGCATTTCGCGAACGTCGAGCATTCCAAGATTGCGCGCAATTTTTTCAGAACCGTGCATTACTGAAATTACGCCACGTTTCATACATACGTTATTGTAACGTCTAATAAAACGAGCGATACAGTGGTGCACGGGGGTGGTTGCAATTTTTGGAGAAATATCGTCGCGGCCTGCGTAATTTGCGTCGATGGGTCGCATCTGGCCCGTTTTGGTCGTGCGTTGCTGCACCTACGGAATAATAAATTAGCCCGCGAGCGTTCTGCGCCAGAAGCGACGCTTCTTCGAGGCATGTTCGCGATGAGCTTAAGCGGTATTATTGAAATTGCCTTCCGCCGTGAGGATTTTAATGGCCCTCGAGACATCGCTGGATATTTAGCCCGGCAGAATACCACCAACGAAAGGAACCGAGATTATTAACTCTCATTCTGCGTACACAGAACGCTTCGCTTTATGGATGTCGTACAATTTTACAGTAAATATGAATTTGCGTGTTCACATACGTTCAATTGATTACAAAATCAAGTTTTATATCTTTCGACACCCGATCATTTCACCGGATCTCGTCCTTTCCTCGCTCGTTTTCCCCCATAAAAGTTAATAAGCCGACAGGGTGGGTTCGTCGATCCCGAGGAAATTGCGGCAAACCAACGCGTCTTCCACGCGACGTTTTATGTCGCTGTTCTATTCCCTGTTACGACCGACCTTTTTCCCTTGTTGCACTGTTTTCCACCCCCTTTTTTTCTTGCCTCCTCCCTTTCGCCGCTGTTCGACCGCGTTTCTTTTACTGCCGTCTGTACGTGAATCTCCACGAACCTAGCCGCAGGGAAAGGGTGACAAGCGTAAAAACGGAACAACCTCTGGAAATCCACTCTTACCAAGTTTCTGTTCCTATTAACCCTTTCGCTACGGGGGCAAACGTATTACAGGCAGTAACACGCGTCCTTCGGCCCTATAGGGATTTTATTTGTCAGTTGAGCGAATTCGCACCATCGTGGCACACTTGTCAAGCGCAGAGTTTAGAAATTGAATTGAAAATTTTGGAATTTGAGATTTCAGGAGATACGAAAATTTAGGGATTTGAAAATTTCTTGTAAATGTAGAAATTTCAGATTTTCTGTCGCTCGTATCGATACACGTCGAATAACCAGGCGTTGAATTATTACACAAATTATCGCGTGTCGAATTACCATACGTCGAATTACCATGCGTCATAACGCCAGGCGTCTTATCGCCCCGCGTTATGCCACGCATTGTTCAACCAGCTATTAGCAGCAATATCACGATCAAATTTACTATTATTGTTGAAATTATTATGATCGGTGAACGGCATCAAAAGTCAGAACAACAGGTAGAAACTCGTTAAAACGTGCCGCGGACGTTGATTAAATTAGCGAAGAACGCTTTCTCCAGTTCGATTCGATTTAAAACAAGGAACACGCGTTCCCGAGTTCTCGAGTGCAGGCAAAGTAAACTGCACACGGCTTGACTCGATTTTCCCTTGATCGTTTGTTTTATTTTTCCTACTTATTCGGCTCTTTTCTCTGCTGCGTTGTAACGGCACTTTACTTAATTACCTTCAACGCAATTCTTTCCCTTACACTTTCTCCCTTTATTCGTGTTTTTCTTCCTGTTTCTTTTTTACCCTAATACTTGGTATTTTGCAATGCTTACGATTATCTTTTTTTAGACGAAATTAAAATAAGGAAATAAACATTAATATTACCATATTAACCCCCCGATTTCGAAACTAATATTCAAGTAACTGATCTCAAACAGATTTTTGCGTACCGTCATTAAATTTTGCCCATAATATCATAGAGTTACAGTGTTATCGTTTATTCTGCAGTAACAAGCTTCGGATATTTCGCTAGTATTCCTCTGGGCAGCAATGCTTGTTAAAACGTCCGTTTTGATTTCGGTCGAACGACCTCCAATTATATTAATCATTCAGGCAAACGATTCCGTTAGTGTTTGATAAACAGCAGTTAGAAGCGAATCTCGATAAAAATCTATCGAATCGTATCGTTTTGACCGCGCTTTCAAATTAAAAGTCAACATAGGCGGGCCGTGTGATCGATATTTCGCGCGCATTATGGAAACGAGCGTAGCAACATGCAAGATCAACAATGCCGCGTCGTCGTTTTTTTATGGAAGATCGTCTCTTGTGGAACCATTTCGTGGTCTGGTTTTTCGTCTCTGCTCTTGTCACGAAACTAAATTTATGGACATGGAATTTATCTGTTTGGCACCAGTCAAACAGAATAATCCTTTTAACATGTTTATTATCAACCTCTTGTATACACATATATGCGCTCTAACCGTTGTCATTTTTCTTGTGAATTCGTTTGACAGATATTACAATACGCTTTTCATATGAATAACAATTATTTTGAATACTGTTTAATCGGAGGAGTAAGAAATTTCGACGCTTATTGGAAAATTTCTAAATTAGAGAATTTAGGAGTTCAAACACTCGAGAGCACAAGTAAGAAAGCATCCCTCCGCGTCACCCGCCATTACTACGTCCACTTCTCCTTTCATCCGACGCTACGAATAATTTAAAGGTTACAATCAATTCTGGTCGCTGTCCAATATACTCTAACAAACAGTAGTGGGGACTGTCGAGTTAAGCCGAAGTTAAATCAGTCGGTCACGACAGTTGTTCTGAAATGTTTAATGTTCAATTAGCGGTTTTAAAACTGTGCGAGTATCTAATTTCACCGATTGCACGTTTCGACGATTAACGATAACGTAATACAAGTGCCATGATGCAATAAGCGGTTGATTACACTTGTTTTTTAGAATGAATAAGCATTTCCATGAATGGAGATCGAGTGACGAAGTGAATTTTTTCGTATAATAACATGTAACGAAATATTTTTACGATTTCCGTCGTAAAATGACGTTTGCTAATTTACTTCTCTACTTAAACAAAATTGTGACGAGTCATGATTCAAGTGAGACAGTACTCGATGGAAACGTAGTAGTAACGTTGCTTTTTTTTCAACTTTTCTAACTTCATCTTCGAGCAGCTTTTGACATGGTTTATTTCAAAAGTTTCTGTGTACAACTAGTATCGATTTCGTTTCTATAAATGGGACAACTTACATGTGAATGTGTCTACTTCTTTAAGTAGATCCTCTTCACAATTGTATAAACTCGACCTCATCTTCTTGTCATATGTGGGTTAACTTCATAATTGTGCTAACTCTATTAATAAACGTGCTAAATTCACCTACGAATGTGTCAATGTCATGCGTGCATTTCAAATGTTGACAATTGATTTATCACTTTAAAATCTTGAGTAATCAAGTGGAAGCCACGGTGGATTAAAAATTCTTTCACTTAATTTCTTTGTCATTCGCGTGGGATTTCAACGCGTGGGGATTTAACGCGTAGGGATCTAATGCGTAGGGATTTAACGCGTAGAGATCTAACGCGTAGGAATTTAACACGTGGGATTCCAACGCGTAGGGATTCCAACGCGTAGGGATTCCAACGCGTAGGGATTTAACGCGTAGGGATCTAACGCGTGGGATTCCAACGCGTGGGGATTTAACGCGTAGCAATTTAACGTGTAGGATTCCAACGCATAGGAATTCCAACGCGTAGGGATTCCAACGCGTAGGGATTCCAACGCGTAGGGATTCCAACGCGTAGGGATTCCAACGCGTAGGGATTCCAACGCGTAAGGATTCCAACGCGTAGGGATTCCAACGCGTAGGGATTCCAACGCGTAGGGATTCCAACGCGTAGGGATTCCAACGCGTAGGGATTCCAACGCGTAGGGATTCCAACGCGTAGGGATTCCAACGCGTAGGGATTCCAACGGCGTGGGATTCCAACGCGTAGGGATTCCAACGCGTAGGGATTCCAACGCGTAGGGATTCCAACGCGTAGGGATTCCAACGCGTAGGGATTCCAACGCGTAGGGATTCCAACGCGTAGGGATTCCAACGCGTAGGGATTCCAACGCGTAGGGATTCCAACGCGTAGGGATTCCAACGCGTAGGGATTCCAACGCGTAGGGATTCCAACGCGTAGGGATTCCAACGCGTAGGGATTCCAACGCGTAGGGATTCCAACGCGTAGGGATTCCAACGCGTAGGGATTCCAACGCGTAGGGATTCCAACGCGTAGGGATTCCAACGCGTAGGGATTCCAACGCGTAGGGATTCCAACGCGTAGGGATTCCAACGCGTAGGGATTCCAACGCGTAGGGATTCCAACGCGTAGGGATTTAACGCGTAGAGATCTAACGCGTAGGAATTTAACGCGTAGAGATCTAACGCGTGGGGATTTAACGCGTGGGATTCCAACGCGTAGGAATTTAACGCGTAGAGATCTAACGCGTAGGAATTTAACGCGTGGGATTCCAACGCGTGGGGATTTAACGCGTAGGAATTTAACACGTGGGATTCCAACGCGTAGGGATTCCAACGCGTAGGGATTCCAACGCGTAGGGATTTAACGCGTAGAGATCTAACGCGTGGGATTCCAACGCGTGGGGATTTAACGCGTAGAGATTCGCACATCTCGATAGCTTATTACCGTTAACTTTGTAAATATTGCCTTGTAACATGTGTGGTATTACATTGTGTTCACAAAGAAGCTTCTATATTGTGAAGAAGCGTGTCTAGTTCCGGGCAGGCGCGTTTCTTAAGCTTCTAAGTCGTAGATCACCGTAATTGCGCCACCGGTTCGATCTATTATGTAACGTCAGTCATGTACGAGCAGTGTCACCAGCTTTTTCCGTCACTTTTCGTTCCTTATCGCTTTCTAATCGCTTACGAGCTTATAATTATTTCGTTCGTAGCCACTGCGTGAAGTTAATCTTTGCCGACTTTCACAGAACCATGGTGAAATCGTTATGAATCTTCGTTGACTATTGGGATTCCCTCGACAGAAGCATACGGTACTGTTCTACGGTTCACAAGTGCATATTTACTTCATTTACATTCAATACTTATCTGTCGTCAGCACTTATTTCTAGATAAATATATAACAGTTCTGTGAGTTCGACTTTGAAAATATTTGACGAATTGACACGTAATTCTTTTACTTTAAAAATGGACTCGATAACGCGAAACCGAATAAATATAGTTCTTTTGTAATTTCTTTTGCAGTTAACATTTACATTGTTTCAACTGAGTGTTTGTTAAAATTTCACATAAATAAGGGTCGGTATCTTTTTCTTCAAGCTTCCGCATTTCAGCTCCGATAATACGAATAACACATAATTCACACGAGACCACTTGTTGAATAAACAGTTAACAAATTTTTCTTCCAACTGACGTGTATATAACTTATTGGCCCGTACACACGTGTGTTGTGTTTAGACGATCTGTATGGACCTCAGTGACGATTCGCCAACGTAGGGGGGAGATAAATAGTTGTTTGGCGTAGCGTAGCTCGTCAGAGCCGCAGTTTCAGTCAGTGTCTAAGATACAACGACCATGTGGAAACCTCAGGCGATCCTGTTGCTGTTGTTCGTTCTCGCGTCATGCGAAGCGAAGAGCCCTGCTCCGAAGAAGCTGAAGATCGTGGGAGTTTTCGGTCACCTCGGTAAAAGTCATTTCGACGTGTTCCAACTGCTCCTGGAGGAGTTGGCTCGTCGTGGCCACGATTTGACGGCGATTTCGCATTTCCCGAGGACGGAGAAAGCCATTAAAGCAGAGCCCTTACCGAACTACAAGGACATCGACTTAAGAGACGATAAACAAGGCGTGTTCGTGAACGTGGTCGACCTGAGAGTCATCGATCACTCTATTCTAAGAATATTCAAAGAGTTGTATTTCTTGTCCGACATGTCGGCCGTAGCTTGCGAGCTCGCCTTGACGAATCCTAAGGTTAAGGAGCTGGTAGCTTCCGGTCAGAAGTTCGACGTGGTGCTCACTGAGAGCTTCAACACGGACTGTTTCATGGTGCTCGTCCACAAGTTCAACGCGCCGATCATAGAAATTTCGACTCATCAGCTGATGCCATGGGCGATTGACCACATGGCACTCTCCAACGAGGCCAGCTACATTCCCGGCATGCTCACTCGTCAGCCAAGGCCAATGAACTTCATGGGCAGAGTTTGGAACACCGTAACCATAGCCTTTATGACCGCCCTTTACAATACCGTGTTCCATTCGAGGGCCCAGGCGATCGCCGAACGGGAATTCGGACCAGACATTCCGAATCTGTCGGAAGTTAGCAGAAACGTAACCTTGATGCTCGTCAACACTCATTATACTCTGCACGGCTCTATACCGTTCCCTCCTAATGTAGTTGAAATTGGAGGAATGCATATATCGCCGAAAACGAATCCTCTGCCGAAGGATATCGCCAAGTTCCTCGACGAAGCGCACGAAGGTGTTTTGTACTTCAATCTCGGGTCTATGGTGAAAGCTGCCACTATGCCGCCGGAGAAACTGGACGCCTTGCTGAAGATGTTCGCGTCTATTCCCAGGAAAGTCATTTGGAAGTGGGAAATTGACGATCTGCCGAAATTATCCTCGAATGTTTTGGTGAAGAAGTGGTTGCCTCAGTCTGACATATTAAGTAAGTATTTTTTTGTTTTGGTTAAGTGGCGCAATAATATGACGCGACACGACGTTGATTAGATACTTAATCTTCTAAAAAAATTATCTTTGTGAAAACGATGGAAATATCTGTTACGGTGTGCGATAAAACTGATTAGAAACATGATTACAATCGCTCTTTAAGTTTTTATTAAAGAGTTACAATGTGTTTTATAGTGTGTGTGAATTTAATTTACTTCTGTAAGGAATGTGTGGGGGATTTAGGGATTTGACGTGAGAAACTAACGTATAGGAGGTCGCGTGGGGATTTTACGCGTAGGGATTTAACACGTGGGATTCCAATGCGTAGGAATTTAATGCGTGGGATTCTAACGCGTAGGGATCTGACGTGTAAGGATTTGATGCGTAGGGATTTAACGCGTAGGGAGCTGACGCGTGGGATTCCAACGCGTAGGGATTTAACGCGTAGGGAGCTGTCGCGTGGGATTCCAACGCGTAGGGAGCTGACGCGTAGGGATTTAACGCGTAGGGATCTAATGCGTGGGATTCCAACGCGTAGGGATTCCAACGCGTAGGGATCTAACGCGTGGGATTCCAACGCGTGGGAATTTAACGCGAAGGGATCTAATGCGTAGGGATTTAACGCGTAGAGATCTAACGCGTAGGAATTTAACGCGTGGGATTCCAACGCGTGGGGATTTAACGCGTAGGGATCTAACGCGTAGGAATTTAACACGTGGGATTCCAACGCGTAGGGATTCCAACGCGTGGGATTCCAACGCGTAGGAATTTAACGCGTAGAGATCTAACGCGTAGGAATTTAACGCGTAGGGATCTAGCGTGACACAACTCATACACAGCACATTTCGGCCTCTCACGATCGATACACTGAAAGAGACAGTAATAGTATCGTCATTTGGTATAAACGCGGTGCTTGTTTTGTTGATATTCGAGTCAGGAATCATGTTTCATTGATACGCTGTCCGGTATCATAATTCGTTTCCTAGTACATAACATTCTAATAGTTCAGCATCATTTTACTCCATGAAAATTTGATCACATTTTACATTTTTACCTCGTAAAGCTGTTCACGATTAACCAGGAACACAATCTGGTTTTATATTCTCTGATGTGTCAGAATTCAAGGAAATATTATGAGATAATGTATCACGGTTACGTCGAATCTTTCGTTTACTTTATCGAAACACGGGACTAGGATAAAGTAAATACGTCTCTAAGTAAAAATGACTATGGCATCATGACAGGCAAAATCTTTTTATCGCCAATTATTGTAGCGTTAGAAACAATCTAGATGTTCAAGTGGAACGTCCGGTATAATGTGCTTAATATACTTCACGTTGCATAACAGTACATGAAAGTTTATAGGTCTAATGCATTGAAGCAAATTAACGATACATCGTTTGCTCGATTAGCAGCAAGCATATTGCGCATTCGAATTTTTACGAGTAGCACGATAAGTAAAAGATTACAGTTTTCTTTGAAACTGACATAAAATTTTTAATTGCAAATTTATGTATATTTGTTTGGCTCAGAGTCAGCTTTGGGTTGCACTTTGAAATTTAGATTCGATAAACTAGTTACAGTTTTCTTTTTACTTTGCAGAGCCTAAGACTTATTAATTCTTATTTAGATTATTTAGGTTATTTCTTTTATTTTAGTATATTTGATTTGTTACTTATTTATGAGTAATTCAAAGTAAAGTTATAGTTATTTGACTTACCTCGTGTGCACTGCTTCTAAGAATACGTCTGTACATAAATTCTCGGCCTTGATAATGTTTCTGGCACCCGTTCCGACTTTGATCCATGACCTACGTTATTCTCTCTTCGTATTAAAATATCAATGAGCGAACATTACGTATTAACATAACGACAGTTATCGAAGAGTACAGTGCGATACAGTAATGACGATTAATTCGATAAAAAGTATCGATCGAGACATAATTTCACGATCCGAAAATAATTTGATATGACGGTGATAGCCATACATACATGAACGGATATTAATCACGATATCATTGCAAAGTATCGAAAGCCTTTCGACTATGCACATGGTTTTGAAAATTTCAAAACTATTCGACGGTCGATACTACTCGACAAATATCGGCTCGGTCTTCCGTGCTGAAATCCGCTTTCGATATTTCCCTACGATTTCCAAGAGCTCTCTGTCTCTCTCTTTCGATTAGTTCCATGCGATAGAGGAATTTCAATTTCGTTTTCGAGTACAGATCGATATCGACTTTGTGCTGTTAGCTCTAAACTGTATACAGAAGTATCGAACTGTCATTAAAAGACTAACTCTGGAATTCGGAAATTGGACAGATATTTTATCGGAGGATTTCTGGGTTTTCAGAATTTTGGGGTTTTGGATTATTGGAAACTTAGAGGAATTTTTAGTTCGCAATTTCTCAAGTTTGGAATTTTTTAATTGATTGGAAGGAATTCTGTGGGTTTTTTTTGGTAATTCAGAATTTTTGGATTTGTATGGGATTTAATTTCAATTTTGGAATTTCATATTGGAACTTTTTATGAGAAGACTTTTGGAGGTTTTGACAATTCTCCAGAATTCAGTGAAAATTGTGGGAAATTTTCAACTTCGAAATTTTCTAATCTTGAAAATATTTGGAGATTTTGGAATTTCGAAAAACATGGGGTTTTTGAGACCATGGAAATAGAAAAATGTGAAAAACCCCAGGGAGCGGAATCGAACTCGCGACCCTCCGTTTTGTAGTCCAGCGCACTGCCCACTTCACCAAAGCCACACTGCTGATTTGTAACCTTCACAATCTTGTAAGATAAAAAGATCAGCAATGCTACTATTGCAGCAGTATTTGTACAACAATACGAAACCTCAGACAAGTAGAACGTATGTTTGAAAAGAAAAATGTCTCCTAATCTACAATTTATCCAACAATGGTAGATAATAACGATTATATTGTTCAACTACAGTTTCCTAAGAGCGCAATAACGACATTTGTTGTCGAAGCTCGATTCAGGTAACTTCCTCGAGGCAGTAGGTTGTTGCCTTAATGATACTCTGTTACGAATATTCGTTTAGTTGAAGTAGAAATGTTCTTTCGATGGGACAGCTCGGAAGATGTTCAGTCGAGAACGAGACACGAGACCACGAGAATTCTCGTGCCGGTAGTTCTACGCTGTTCACGAAACTACTTTAATTAGGTAAATCGTTAATGACCCGTTGCCAACATAAATCACCGGCGACGCGTTGATTGCCACATAGAAATAACCATATCTGGTACGAAGCGCAGAATCATTGAGCATATTCAAAATTAAATTTAAAATCTAAGATTTAAATATTGAGGATCAAATTGTAAATTAAAAATCAAGTTTCAAATCTCAGACTGAATTATTAAATTTGAAATTTCAGAATGAAATAGCATTAAGTTTAAGCAGTTTTAAATTTGAAAATTAAGAGTGAAATTTGAAATCTGATTTAAATTACGAGCTCGAAACGTTCCGTTTTCATTTGCATCTCCAAAAAAATTTATTTGACAGAGTTTAATATTTATGGAGCAAGAGAACAATATTGTTCTCGTTTAGTAAATTTGCTGAAGACGGTGCCTGACGTAACATAGTACGAAGGCAAACGAATTGACTGATGACTATACAGGGCGTTCAGAAATTCTGTGAAACTTTAGATGACTGTTACTGTTATATTGTGCACATGTGGTCTCACATGTGACTAGGTCTTTCTTAATGTTCGTATAATTTAAGCCACATGTGAAAAAGATGACTTTTGGAATACGTGGATAAAAGAATAGGTAACAATAAATTGCATATTCATATGCAGTCTAATATCTGACACGTGTCAACACGTATTAATGCCAACATGTTGATATTTTCTGGGAGCTCCAGCTTGCCTATAAATATGTGCATACATAGACTCTTTCATTCCTGTGCTTCAATTTTCATTTAGCATGAAGTATAGTTGGCTGACAAATGAATATTGCATCATGCGAAATTGATTAAATTTGATATCGAACACGAGTCTCTATAATTATCTGGCACGTTTAACAAGTTCAATCTTTGCAGTATAAAATGTAATCAGTTAACGATAGACGATCTAAGTGAAAATCAGTTGAATATACTCCACGTATTTGCATCAAGATTAATGCGTGTCTGATCACTCACAGCTTGAACTACTGTCTGACGAAACCCAACATTTCAGAGATAAACTCAAGTGTTCGCAAATATCAAATTACAGATAACCATATTAAAAAATGCAGATAGATTAATATTTTCGGTAGATAATAGTCACTTAGTAATTAATTTACTTTCAGATAGAAGATACGATTATGGATAATACAAGTTAGTACTTTAATCTATTCGTTATAAAAAGAAGATTTACCTTTATCGATCCGGTGTATCATTATCGCTATCATATTCTCTTATCACTTTTTTATCGATACTGAATGGCGACGCGCCAGCCGTTATTTCCCATAGAAGCAACGCTATCGACGTTAAGACCGTATCGTTTTTCGCGGTGGTTGAATCCCGTTGCCATCTAGGTGACCAGATAATCTAGCTAAAACCGGCGGGTAACTCTACCGGCCTTCGATCGCTTTAATTTTATTATCTTCTTAACGTCGTGTGTCTCTGATCTTCATCTTTCCTGTAGCGCACTCTTTTTGATATCGATAAAACTGATTGTGATTTGTTTGATTGCGCGAAGTTGAGATTTGGGAATTTGTAGGGTTCCTAATTCTTACATTCACCAATTACACATTCCCTAATTTCACATTTCCTAATTCCCACATTTCTCAATTCCTACATTCACCAATTCCCACATTCCCCAATTTCTCATTTCCTAATTCTCACATTCACCAATTCCACATTCCCTAATTTCTCATTCCCTAATTCCCACATTTCCCAATTCCCACATTCTTAAATTCCCACATTCACCAATTCCTATATTCCCCAATTCCCACATTCCCCAATTCCCACACTCCCCAACTATCACATTTTCCAATTCCCACATTCACCAATTTCCACATTCCCCAATTCCCACATTCCCCAATTCCCACATTCCCCAATTCCCACATTCCCCAATTCCCACATTCCCCAATTCCCACATTCCCCAATTCCCACATTCCCCAATTCCCACATTCCCCAATTCCCACATTCCCCAATTCCCACATTCCCCAATTCCCACATTCCCCAATTCCCACATTCCCCAATTCCCACATTCCCCAATTCCCACATTCCCCAATTCCCACATTCCCCAATTCCCACATTCCCCAATTCCCACATTCCCCAATTCCCACATTCCCCAATTCCCACATTCCCCAATTCCCACATTCCCCAATTCCCACATTCCCCAATTCCCACATTCCCCAATTCCCACATTCCCCAATTCCCACATTCCCCAATTCCCACATTCCCCAATTCCCACATTCCCCAATTCCCACATTCCCCAATTCCCACATTCCCCAATTCCCACATTCCCCAATTCCCACATTCCCCAATTCCCACATTCCCCAATTCCCACATTCCCCAATTCCCACATTCCCCAATTCCCACATTCCCCAATTCCCACATTCCCCAATTCCCACATTCCCCAATTCCCACATTCCCCAATTCCCACATTCCCCAATTCCCACATTCCCCAATTCCCACATTCCCCAATTCCCACATTCCCCAATTCCCACATTCCCCAATTCCCACATTCCCCAATTCCCACATTCCCCAATTCCCACATTCCCCAATTCCCACATTCCCCAATTCCCACATTCCCCAATTCCCACATTCCCCAATTCCCACATTCCCCAATTCCCACATTCCCCAATTCCCACATTCCCCAATTCCCACATTCCCCAATTCCCACATTCCCCAATTCCCACATTCCCCAATTCCCACATTCCCCAATTCCCACATTCCCCAATTCCCACATTCCCCAATTCCCACATTCCCCAATTCCCACATTCCCCAATTCCCACATTCCCCAATTCCCACATTCCCCAATTCCCACATTCCCCAATTCCCACATTCCCCAATTCCCACATTCCCCAATTCCCACATTCCCCAATTCCCACATTCCCCAATTCCCACATTCCCCAATTCCCACATTCCCCAATTCCCACATTCCCCAATTCCCACATTCCCCAATTCCCACATTCCCCAATTCCCACATTCCCCAATTCCCACATTCCCCAATTCCCACATTCCCCAATTCCCACATTCCCCAATTCCCACATTCCCCAATTCCCACATTCCCCAATTCCCACATTCCCCAATTCCCACATTCCCCAATTCCCACATTCCCCAATTCCCACATTCCCCAATTCCCACATTCCCCAATTCCCACATTCCCCAATTCCCACATTCCCCAATTCCCACATTCCCCAATTCCCACATTCCCCAATTCCCACATTCCCCAATTCCCACATTCCCCAATTCCCACATTCCCCAATTCCCACATTCCCCAATTCCCACATTCCCCAATTCCCACATTCCCCAACTCTCACATTCCCCAATTCCCACGTTCCCCAATTCCCACATTCCCTAATTCCACATTCCCCAATTCCCACGTTCTCAAGCTCCTCAAGTCCCTAATTTCCAAGTCCCCAATTCCCAACTTTCAAATTCCTCAGGTTTCCAATTCCCAAATCTCCAATTCCCAAGTTCGCAAGTTCCACAAGTTCCTCAAGTTCCCAATTCCTAAATTCCCAACTTCCTCAAGTCCTCAATACCCAACACCTCAAATACCTCAATTTCCAAATTCCAAACTCTCCAACTTTCCCACTTCTCAAATTCTCCAATCCCCAACTTCTCCACTCCTCAAGTTCCCCAATCCCCAAATGTCTAAACGATCAAATTCCCCAATATCTCCAATCTTAGATACGCTCTCGATAATTTCACTAATTGATGCTTATCAAATCACCAATAACAGCCGTATATTGTTACACCCGAGTATTTTAATTACGCTCGAAGATTTTATCGCGACGGTCGTTCGAAAGGAAGCATTCAAACAGAAGCATTTGTCAGACCGATGTGGGTTCTCCGTGGAGCTCGTTCCACGTCGTGTTCCACAATCGATCCCGTCAATTCGTATACGACTCGCTAATGTAATTGACTTCAGAGGCAACGATACCGACGATCAAGGTAGGATGCGTTGACACGCAATACCCCGGAGTATCGTATTTAGCGTTATAAAGGTAGGAACGGAACGATGGGTCGCATTATCCTCCCGGGGATCGTTCGATCGTAAGTTCAACACGTTGTTATTCCTTTTGCTATCCATTAAGGAATAGGATATACTTCTTTGTTACTTTTACGATTCTATTAGATTGCCTTGGGGTCAGACTGGTTGCGGAGTTCGGTACGCTATGCTAACTCGATGCTCCCTGGTGATACATCGCTGAAATTTCAGATGCGAATCGATCGCGATTCGATTTGCGACGTAGACTTACCCTCCAGCCATCGAATTCTATTAACCCCGTTACCATAGGCTACGCATTTCCTTGCCGGTTTACTTTTTCACATCCTTCTCATATTTTCTTCACGTATTAAGCATATATCTTTAACGAACGTACTTTCTCGACTGTCGTATAAATGTTTATCATGTTTTAACATCTCGTAGGAAAAACATCTACGCCTTCTACAGTGTAGAATTACAGAATATACTACATAGAACTCTTTGTACAAATTGTATTCAACATCGTAGAGGAGATCTACAGCGACGGTAGATGAACGTTGACGTCACCTAACGCGAGAGGAAGTCAGCGTTTATCACACGGTAGAATATTTTTTCATAACGGAAGGTTTGAATCATATCCGCAACGAAGGAAAATTTGTTCGGTATTAGGTAATTTAAGAATGAACGAGTTAAGGAACAGCTCGCGCTGATTGGACGATCAAATATCAATACCGTCGAAGAATTTCGAAACGACCTTCCTCGAGAAAATAGCGTCGCGTTATTTCCTCGTTACCGGTGCCGTAAAAATGTATCCGTTAGCGTTGCTGTCGGAAATCTCGAGCAAATCGTGCGAGAACCGACCGACCGATTTTCCTCGTCTCCGATCGTTGTATTCCCGATGTCGGCTGCAAAAATTCAGGCCACCTCGATAGATATCCTCTGTCACGTATCGACGAGCACCGTCACGAGGATGTATCGAGGGCGAAACCTCGAGAGGTGCTCGTCGAATCTCGCACCCCTTACGTTCCGACAGACGTACAACCCTCTAGCTTCGTCTGCATCTGTACGTAAATCGCTGGTGTCGAGGAACGAAGGGATGATAGAGAAGAAGGGGATGAAAAAGGAGAGCAGTACGGGTCGTGTGGTAATGGAATTTGACATTAGGATCGACGTTGAGGGTATGGGGGACTTCTGTGCTATAAGGAGAGATCGAATCGGTATTACAAATATCGGTAAAATGTCCCTATTTCTTACTTTTATTCCTACGTATTACTTTTCATACTTTTGCGGAGAGATACGTAATGCTTTTCTTTTCGAAATACTGTAGTTCCAGGATTGAAAATTAATTTTTAAAGATTTCTAAAGACTCAACTTTCTAAATTCTGCAAATTTCACATTCCCCAATTCCATATTTAGCAATTCCCATATTCACCAATTCCCACATTCCCCAATTCCCACATTCTTCAATTCCAACATTCCCCAACTCTCACATTTCCCAATTCCCACATTCCCCAATTCCGACATTCCCCAACTCTCACATTCCCCAATTCCCACATTCCCCAATTCCACATTCCCCAACTCTCACATTTCCCAATTCCCACACTCCCCAACTCTCACATTCCCCAATTCTCACATTCTCCAATTCCCACATTCCCCAATTTCCACGTTCCCCAATTCCCACACTCCCCAATTCCACATTCCCCAAGTTTCACATTTCCCAATTCCCACATTCCCCAACTCTCACATTCCCCAATTTCCACATTCTCCAACTCTCACATTCTCCAACTCTCACATTCCCCAATTCCCCCATTCCCCAATTCCCACGTTCCCCAACTCCCACATTCCCCAATTCCCACATTCTCCAATTTCTCATCCCCCAATTTCTTATCCCCCAATTCCACATTCCCCAATTTCTCGTCCCCTAATTCCCACATGCCCAATTCCACATTCCCCAACTTCTCATCCCCCAATTCCATATTCCCCAATTCCCGAATTCCAAGTTTCTTAAGTCTCTAATTTCCAAACCTCCAATTCCCAAATCCCCAAATCCCCAAATTCCTAAATCCCCAAATTCCCAAATCACCACTTTTCCCGAAATTACTTCAGCCCACACCACCTCACCATTTTACCCTCTCTGCCTCCGTACGGACGTAATAATACGCATTATGTAAAGGAACCCACTTCCCTGGAACTGATTCATATTTGACGGGATCAGAGTGAAATCCGCGGCTGAATATTTATGGAAATGAACACACTGCTCCCTATTTTTAACTTTCTTCGGGAAAAAATTGGGAATTTTCACAGCGATGGACTGAGTGATTACTTTCCAATATCGAGAATCAATTTTTTGCACAATGCTTTAATTGGAATATTTAGCTGAATGTTTACAGTCGGTATATCAATGAGAACTTTATTAAAAGTTTGCTGTTCGTCAATATGGTGTGTACATAAAACATGAACAAATATGCGTTCATCATTTAGTGGTATTGACTGTGTTCTTGCGAAGTAAATAATGAAGAATGACGAGTGTTGTTGAAACAAATGTTTTGTAATGTTATTGTGGTTTTTTGTATTCTGAGGTTTTTTGTTTTGCTTATTATATGAACTTATTTGTTACAGCTCATCCGAATGTTAAGTGTTACTTTGGCCATGGTGGACTACTGGGGTTGTCAGAGGGTGTCCACCGAGGGGTGCCCATGGTTCTCATGCCTTTCTTCGGTGACCAATATCAGAACGCCATTGCCGCTCAAGCTAGGGGAGTCGCCATCGTTGTGAAATTCGACGAAATGAGCGAAGCGACACTCAAGAACGCTGTGGACGAAATTTTCAACAATACCAGGTAAGTTCTCTACTTTGCCTCCTTCTGACAACTTTAACAAATATTGATACTTCATCTCAAGTCTCAAAGTTTCAAAATGCCAAAAGAAGTAATCTGGTAGTCAAATAACTAGCGACCACCCGTTATATGGCACCCATCTAAACCTCTACTCCAAATCCAATCGATTGTGCGTCGGTTGCGTTGGCAACAAAAAGAAAAAGCAGGTAAAAATCAGGGAGGAAGGGAACCGTGGCAAAAAGGGAAATCGTATAATCTGGCCGGATATTCGGTCCGTTGAATATCTCACGAGCTGTCCGGACGCTCGGATATCCAGGAAGTGCATCGTCGTTGCAGCACAAGCCCGTTAATCCGCAACCAGGTCTGCCGTTTTCCATCCTTCTTTGCTTACGATTTCTGTACATCTCGACACTTACGTGTCTTAACCCTCTGTGTCTCCATTTTGTTTCTCTTCTTGGTGTCCTCCTTTAGAGATGTGGTTCCCATTGTGGCCCTAGTTTAATATTACCTTTTAGTTTGCTTGTTACACGTGCAATTATCTGAGTATCTGCAAGTGCAATTATCTGAGTATCTGCAAGTGCAATTATCCGAGTATCTTTATTGTTACATAGGTACTTGTCATGTAGGCACTGGGTCTTTGTTCAAGGTTTGGGGATAATAAGTTCTTACAGATATTATAGATAAGCGTTATAGTTATAGATATGATGTATGATGAGTATGTGTGGTCCACATTCAAGTGCAAAAAGTATAAATTTATTTTTGACAAAGTTAAATGTGATCCTATCTTAAGAGTTAAGAATTTCAAGGTTTGTCTAGGAGTTAGCAAATATTTTCAAGGTCATTAAGCTCCAAATCAGTGTATGATAAATGAGATCGAAGTTATGAAATGATGTCAGCAGCATCAAACGTGGAAATCCATTACCCGAAAACAATAACGCAATCCATCAAAAGCTAGAATGCTTCTGTTCTTAATTCCGATTAAAAGAGCGCGTCCTCAACGGGCGATCCATCGGCGTATCGTTTGGGGTTCGTGGAAGCGTATCCGGTCAGTCGCATGGGAAATCTCATGGCCGCTAAATGTTTCACGGCGCGAATCAACACCACGGAGCGGCTCGATGACGACCAGGGAACCTGGACGAAATTAAATTCTACATTATTCAATGGCGACCCAGCTGGATAACTTGTTAACCGGTGGAGCCTCGCGTTACGTCGTCGCCGCTGTTACGCGTGCAGGCTTGTTTACACGCGTCGCCGGCACCGCGTAAATTGCCCGACGTTGAATTTTTCATCTGATTGCGGTTACTTGTTTTCGGACGCATTATCACGCTGTCGTAACAGTCAGTCTTCCGGCGACTTTTTCTGACTCCGAATGCAGCAACGTAACGTTTCTTGCGATGTTTCTTGTTGCTACGCTGCGGGGCTTGTCTGATGGAATAGGAAATCTTCGCATTTGCCCTGAACATGTAATTTTGTCGTGATGTTAACAAGGTTGTTTGTGATTCGATACGTTCATGTGAACTGTGCGACATTGTTGCTTTGTGGTTGGCATTCGGTAGTAATGCGAATTTCGCGTTGAGAAATTCTTAGGACAATTGTGGAATTCTTGGGGATCTGTGCTTCAAAGTCGAGCTGATTGTAGACAGCTCCCTTTTTGCAAATATGTCTACACATGTGGATGTCGTGTCATGAGGTGTACATAAAGATAGGGTGGTTGAAATTGAACTAATATCATCATAATTTTATCATCATTATTAAAACCACTAGTGTAGCAGACTAGGTCAGTGAAAACATGTGTAGCAAAACATGTAAGTGTCTCATTTCTTATGAGGACCCGAGGGACACATTTCTGATCCAGATTTAACTTCCTCGAGTGAAAGCAACAGAAGTATACGAGCTATTAATTCATCGTCCACTTCGTACACCAGTCAGTCCAAACTTTCTATCATATTATAAAATGTTTGTCTAGCACGAAGCATTATAATCGTTAACTCGGTTCGATTACACCACCTTTAGACAGTATTTGATCGATCAAGAAAGAAGTCGATCTAAGTACCTGCCACCGATTCTCGTTGGATTAAAGTTCCGATTAAAGTGGAATCAGGTGTCAAAAGAGTGAACAACGAATTTCCAGGAATATCAGAAACGAGGCAAAGAATTCCATTAATCTTCGCCGATCGAACGCTCTCGTATCGGCCACGGAACAAGAAGCGTTGCTCGTTGGTCCGTAACTCGCGATTTAATTACGATGCGCCGGCACGCGAGTCGCGCGTCGAACGATGAAAGCGGCTTAATAAATCAGAACGGATATGAAAGCGTTGGCAGCGTCACGTTCGACGTAGCTCGCTACTGTCCCGGTAATTACGACAGCCTGGATTTACGAGCTAGCCGACTTGGTCCTTCGACATGGACGCGGTTCGATACGATCCTTCGCGACAATGCACGTGCGATTGTATCCTTGTTATCCGACCTCCTGAATACTAATTAATAAATAAATTCGAGACCTGGTAATTGGATGATCCTATCTATACCGGCCACCGTAGGCTCCCCTTTGAGAAATGGCGGTGCTGGGACTATCGGTTCTAAAGGAATTTAGCACTTTGGGTAATTCGGGAAACTTGGGATTTGGAAATCTGGACATTTTGCGAATTTGACAAATTTGAGAATTCGGAAGAAGTTGGAATAAGAATTTTAGATCGGACTATTTGAAAATGAAAAAATTTACGAGTGCAGAATTTTGTAAATTTATAATCTGCTAAGGGTGGAAGTGGAGATTTTGAAAAGTAATGATTTTTGGAAATTTCGGTAGGATAGAATTGAAATGAACATTACACGATCCTAAATTCAGTAGCGAAGTGGAACCGAAACTAGTTGGTGAAGCAAGGTGGAACGCGGAGGGTCGTTGATGGAAAATTCACCAAGGGCGAGCGTGGCAGGCTACGGCACATAATAAACGAGACTTCCGGTTATCGAGATCGCGCCGGGACGGTCCTTTGCCGGTTGCAAATTCTCTGGGAACGAGTTGCGAATATTTCGGTCTCCCGTCGCTGAATATGCAGGTACACGCAATTAAAATGTACGCCGACAGCCGGGAAAGGCGAAAGTAATTTTCTCGCTGGATTTTTCGAAGTTACTTCGTCACGCGTCGGTGTATCGGTGGACGATGTCGGTGAATTTCGAGGCGGTTCCCGGCGGAAAGTAATCTTCGTTCCCCTCGTAATTCCCTCGAAGTTACTTTACGATTTCCTGGCTCGTTGTCGCCCAACTCTGCGCCAACTTACTTTCCGACTTGTAACGTTATCGCGGCGAACCGAGACGCCTCCATCTTCTGCGCTCGCGACCAATTAGCCGAGGTAACCTCGTGCACGTATCTTCCCACGCATTATTCACAATTCTACCAAAATTCTAGACTGCGCTGATTTTAACCCCCTTCCGTGCTATTTATTTATCGCATCACGCAAGACTCGGGACTATAATTAAAATTAACAAAGAAAATTAAAATTTTATATACAGGGATCCTTATAGTTGGACTTAAATTTCAAGTTGAAGAATGTTCAAAATTTGAGTAAGGTTTGTCACGTATGAGCTGTAAGTGAGACTCGTCAAAGCACGGGAAGAGGTTAAGTGTTATCACGTCATAATTAGAGAAAAGGAGTTACTTCAACAATCTCTGAAAGTGCACATTTTCTAAATCATTGAAAAATTTTTTAAAAAACTAACTATATGAAATTTTGCACAGTGAACGCAGTAGATGTAGATTAAGTTTTAATAGCGTCATTTTTACAACCCTTGTGAAAGATTGAAGTATGAAAGAGGCTGCGGAAAGTGAAAAGTTCTTCAATAATTTTCTATGAAGAAAGTTTGAAAATTTACACGGTGAGTTTATAGTTTTAATAAATGGGGAGAAGGTTGACAGCGTGCAGGGAATTATCGAGCTGTAATTTTGGCCACGAAACGGGATACAGCTGTAACCGGAACCGCGAAACGCTTAACAAACAACCGCTGAAACGATCCCCTCCATCAGTTCGGCCAACTAATTGGGCCAGGAGCAGAAAAGTCCGACACCGGGTATGTTTCATTTGCACCTGACACAAACAACGTTTAAATACTCAATTACAGTCGCTTGCGCGTAACGCGGACAGGATATCCGTTTGACACACACGCGTGCCACGTTCATTTTCGAGCGCGGTTTCCGCGAACCGGTGCACCCTTCAGCCATTATCAATCTATAATAGTATTGCGGTATCGTTCGCAGAAAAATACGAAATTCCGAACTCGAGATAGCAGGAAAAACAGGGTTGAATTCCTGTTGCAAGAGGGATAAAAGCAGCGAGAATATCCGTGCTTAGAAGCAAGCGTTTATTGAGACTGGATCTAAAAGAGGAGAGGAAAGAAGCTACGGTGAAATGGCCCTCGGGCCCCGAGCTCCGATCCAATTAGATTTTTAATAAAAGTTTACCCATCCCGCCGTTACTGTCCCGCGAGTCACGTACCGGTTTGCGCCCCTATGGGCTGAGAAAAAGATTAACTGGTTCCCAGGGTAACCACCCTTTTGACACCGACTCACCCCGATGCCATTTCGTTATTACTATCGGTCACATTCTGCTTTTTACTTCAATCTTTCTCTCTTTCAATCCATAAAACACCCTTAACTTTTTAATTACCTATCGAATTACAATTTTTAACTTATATTTTTGTGATTGTTCTTTTTTAAAAATTGTTATTTAAAAAGAACATATCAGAGTCGATCGAATTGTAGTAAAAGTCGGCAACAAAATACGATTTATTAATAATGGACTGCAAATTGCGCGCGGGTAAAAACAATATAGATTGAACTGTTTTTAACAGTTCAGAATATATCAACGTACTTACCGATAAGCTGCTCAAATGGAAGCGAAGATAAAATAATTCGGGAACAGTTTTTACGTAGAAATACATACATCGAGACGCGAAGAAAATTGTTATAAAATTCATGCACAGCGGTGTTGTTCCGATACAAATAAACC